ACCCACACCCACACCCACACCCATACCCACACCCACACCCACACCCATACCCACACCCACACCCACACCCACCCGTTAGAAAAACTCTCCAATCAATTGTTTATTTACGAGATATTCAGTAACAATCGAGTTTATTATCAATCAAAGATAAGTAGTTATTCAACAAATATGATTTCTATATGTAGGTAATTAAGTATTCGGCGTATGCTTGTGCATCATGATAAATGACAAAAATATGGTCTCCATCTGTTGTCGAATCGAATCCCTCTGGTCGACTTTTTACTGAACGACTTCCTTGAGTAGGCTCTCCTATTAACACACGAGCAACGAACATACATCGTTCTCCATTCAAATTGGGTTCAGTAAATTCGTCGCTATAAGCTGCATTCGAAGAAAAGTACACACCAGCACCGTATGATGTCCCTAGTCAATAGCAGAGAAATTGTAGAGCAGATCATAGTTCAAATTACTTACCATGTGCTCCAGCAAAACTTCGATTAAAACAATCTTTAATAATTGAATTCACTGCGGATTGAGGACAGCCATGATATAAACGTCTTTCAGTAGCCTTATTTAGTCTTTTGTCGAATTCTTGACTATGTGCTAGGTACTGTAGAAACCATCGTTCATTTTGAATTCGTTCGATTCGGATAATTGAAGTATAGTTTTCTTCCATTGTCTGATCAAAATTATTAACAATTGAGTTGTATTCATGAGTATTATAAGGCACTACAAAACGTAATTTATTCTCAGTTGATTGCACCCAGGTTGAAGGTAATTTATAGTTGATTAATGTTTCCGCGTCTGTTGAAATAATATGAAAGAAAAATTATTTTTGTCCTATAGAAAAATTTGTTATATACCCTCTTGTACAGACCAAAGTTGATTAGAAAATTCCTCATAGAGATTTTGCCGTTCAGGTTGAATGACAAATCTTACTGTTAATGGGATATTTCTCATTTTCAATTGATTTTTGATTTCTTTCACCATCGTCTTGACTACGAGATCCACAGGACATCCATGTTCTCCACATCCAATAGCTGGGAATGCCACGGAGGTAAACTTGTAAGAAATAATATTTTGAATAACAGTCCAAATAAAATCGACAAGAGATTGTCGAAGAAATTCTTCATTTGGATCTGGTTCCCATTTGACAAAAAATATTTGTTTGCAAGAGAGTTGACCTGATGGAAGTGAAACTATAAGTGAATTCGGATTCTTTTGGCATTGTTCTCTGTATGCCGTTCGGATGTTTCGACCTGCTGCTTTCATGATGGCTTTTTTCAAGATTCCTGATGAAGAACTCCCAATGATCACATCAATCTTTCAAGAGGAAAATATGCTTGGCATTGATAAAGATACATCTTTGAGGACCTACCTTTTGCTTTGTAATATCTCCCATTTGAACTTCTACTATTCCTTTTCCGATTCTCATCGAAATGGCTTTTGTCTTTGGAAACGATTGAACTGAACTGATTTTTTTTTGAAATTCTTCGTAAATATCCGTTCGGTCTGATAGTATTACAAAAGCCACGGACATGGGATATGTGGTCAGTTGATGATGGACTTCCTCAATCATTGTTTGAGCGATCAGACTGATTGAACAACCATATCCATTGCAACCAATAGCAGGAAATGCAATACTTCGACAGTTTTCACTGGCTGCTTTATTCATGGCATTAGAGATGAATGTACTAACTGATTGACGAAACATATTGACATCGGCAGGAGGTTCCCATGCCAGAAAATAAACTCTTTTCGCTGAGATTTGACCGGCAGCTGCTACACTAATGACAGGGTCAATCAAATTTTTATTGACTTCAGTATGAAATAAATTCTCCATCAAATCCCCACCAGCTTTGAGAATGCTTTCGCGCAAAGTCCTTGATGATCGACATACCACAACAACATCAGTCTAAAGAATGGTATGTAAAAATGCAACTCATGAAAAGAGAATATTTGAATTTACCTGTTCTGTGATCAAATCACCTTGACGAATACAGATCGATGAACCTATATCACGACCAAAAGTTGTCTGCTGTAACAGAGAAAATGGGACATATATATTATATTGCACGATATTAGTACGTTTTACAGGGTCTTCCGAACAGTAAGGTTTAGAATAATAAACATTTTTTGTATGGTAAAAAACCATTTTTTGGCTCGAATTGTTAATAAACATCAACGACAATAGGTCAAAAAAAACTCACTGTGTGTTGATCGAATTGTTCATCAGTAAGTGATCCGCAATGCACCGATAACATCTTTGTTGTATCAGCAATTCTTACATCAGTCGAACTATGATAGGGAAGACTGAAAACATTTGCAGTATCACTAAAATTATTGTTATTATTCGAATCTTCTCCTGGAAATGATCTATCATTGATAGAATCCAGAAAATAGGACAGGATATCGTCTTCGATCGTTACTAGGTCATTTGAGAAACATAAGGTTGCTGCTGAACACGATGTTGAACCATTTATCGTGGTGGAATTTGTTTGACTAATTCGAACAAACAAATAAAGAATGGAAGAAAAATTGCTTTTATATTCTGAAACTTACTCATTTGTTGTATCGTGCTCTATACGCATGCGTTTAGAAGGATTGTCACCAGCTTTGCTGGCTGCAGGGATATCGATCGGAGGGATGTAGCGTTTCATCACCGCAGTAAATCACTAAGTAGCGGGTTACCAACACAAGATCTATCTGAAAGAACTTAAGTAATATTTAAGGGTTAGAGGACTGTTAGATGTTTCACTAGGAAAATCTGATGCCTATGTGTTATGGTGACTACTACAGTCAAATCTCTTTTAAAGCGACAGATCAATTTATATTGGCATCGAAGAATACTTTAAAAATAATGATGAAAGCTCGAAAGCTTTATATGTTGCGAAATGTAACACCCACTCTTGTTGGAAGAAAAAGAAAAACATACGACAAAGGAAAGAGGTGTGAATAATCATAGGAAGGAAAAGAACAAAGATGAAAAGTTGTGAGTGTGCATGTAGGTACAGGTGTGAGTATAGTCATGCATATGGAAAAAGCCAAAGAAGTATAAAACAACATCCTACCAGAGATGTCCATCGCGGCGCTGCCGCTGCCGCTGCCGCTGCCGCGCCGCTGCCGCGGTGGCGGTGGCGGCGCGGCAGCGGCAGGTTTTTAAAAAAAATCACCGCGGCAGCGGCGCGGTAGCGGCAGATTTTTTTAAAAGTCATCGCGGCAGCGGCGCGGTAGCGGCAGGTTTTTTAAAAAACCATCGCGGCAGCGGCGCGGCAGCGGCAGGATTTTTTTGGAGGACATTGAAAAACTGTATGAATTTAATAGAATTTCACGATTTACAAATGAAACGCCCTGATATTGAATAAATCTGATGGTCTAGTACCCATATCTCTGGTCAAATATAGTCAAAGCAGTGAAATTAGAAACACTTTTTTGAAAATCGTCGCGGCAGCGGCGCGGTGGCGGCACGTTTATTTTATAATTCATCGCGGCAGCGGCGCGGCAGCGTTTCTTTTATAAGTCATCGCGGTGCGGCAGCGTCGCGGCAACATTTTTTTATAAACCGTCGCGGCGCGGCAGCTTTTTTTTTCTAAGGCCGCGGCGCGGCAGCGGCAGATTTCCAGCCGCGATGGACATCTCTGCATCCTACACTCATGTTCTTATTCATGTTGTTTTTTCATTGGCGTTGACTCAGCATCTGCTTTTTCTATTGGTACTTTTTGTCAAATCGGGAGGAAATTTGGAAGCTGTCAAGCAGAGTACAGAGAAGTAAATAGCTGGTTTGAAAAGATATGTTTTTGAATAAAAACAGCAATCACTTGGTTTCTTACATTGGTCAGTCTGAAAAGAATGACAATAAGTTTAAAGACTAATAGCCATTTCAAAAAAGAACAAGCACAAGCATTTTTTAAATAGCTTATGATAAGAGGAAGCTAGAATGGTGCAATTTTCATCGATCAAACTGGTAGATGAAATTTCGCTGAATTCTCTGTACATCAGTTTTTGTTGAACAGAATAGTTTGTTTAACGTAAATGTTGTATAATCTCAATTTTCAGGAGTTTACTAACATCTTTAACTGAAGATCGATAACACTTGTATCATCAGTAGATTTTTCATAGAAAATCGATTTCTTTTCTCATTATTCAACGAAAACGTTCATCTTATAGACTTATTCAACAGTCTAGACTTTTAGAAAAAAAATTGATACAGAACTTTGAGAAAACTTGTTAGAAAACTCTGATATATACTATTCTGTGCAGCGGCATCTCCTCTTTTAAATAGTCGAAACCATATTTCCCTATCTAGTTTTTTTTCCGTCAAAGTTTGTTCAAAAAATACTCACACTTTTCCATCTTAGAAATGAGTTTTAGTGGTATATAGCTTGCAGCTCATGCTGTGTCAAAACATGCAATAAAAAACGGTGGAAAAAATTTAACCTGACCTTCCGATTATAGGTGGCGTACATACAGAACAAGTAGGAAATACCGCGATAACGACAAAAAAGGAGAATATTTCAATCAGCCGATACTTTCTATCAATAAGCACAAAAGAGGATCAGATGGTGTGGATGGGTGTGCGTGTTTGTGAATATGTGTCTCCCAGCGCAGGAAACCCACATCCATCCAACTAAACATTGCCTTTATTGATTCATGACAATCAAAACCAAAGTACAAACTCATGATGACGAAATATCATATTATCGTGAACACGATTTCAAACATAATCGATGACACACTTGCTCTGTTTGGTATGATTATGTAACACTTCTTGCAAAGCATTATTCAACATTATTCGAAATATTCTCGATACTTATTGTTAGAGGGTGTAGGTGTGGGTGTGGGTGGGGTGTGGGTGTGGGTGTGGGTGTCGGTGTGGGTCATTTCCGGAAGTACACCCATACCCACACCCACACCCAACTTAGATTTGTGATCCTAAATGTAATCTCACACCAAATTGTTAATCTAAATCTATCTTCAAAACACGTGGTCATAATTATTTTCGAAACATATCATCATGTTTTGAGTAGAAAAAATAATGATCAATAAATGCAAAACATTATTTCTAATGTCGATGAACATTCATTTTATAACTATTAAAATAAATAAATATAACAATTATAACTGTAACCGATAAAACAACAGATTAGTCTGATAAAGTGTAAAAATGACCATAATATAAATATTTGATGAACGATAATTTAGAGCAGTAATATTAAAGAATTAATTTAATTTATTGTTTAAGAGATGATTGTCAAGTAAAGCATAATAATCTCTATTAGTTGTAACAAAAAATAATTTTTAAAGAATTGAAGAGAAAAAAATTAAAGGTTATTTACGAAAATCCAAATCTAGGAAACGATAAGAAAATAATTCAGTAATACATTCATTTTTCAGATTAACGACGATATTGATAACATATTCATACTAATTTAGGCAATAGTTTTTCATTGAAATCTTTATCCCATTTAGTATTTTTATTTATGGACCCGTTAAATGATAATAGTCTTCTGTAGAGACCACCAACTGCAATTGTTATTGGAGTCCATATGCAACTGGTTTCTCTCGTCTTTTTCTTTTTAAAGACAATGGTATTTTTACTCTTCCTGTCTAACAATGTTCAACCACGACGGCTGAACTGTAAAATCGTGTGAGATAAATTTGTCATTAAAATAGAAAAGTGTAAGCTGAGTTACATTATAATAATCACCAACAAGAAGAATAAGTTCCACAGATATTCAATCA